AGATAGTCCAGGCACACATTACATTGAATCTTAGTTAGATCTTTTTTCATGTAGCTTAAAGACTCTATCAGCAGCGAGATGCAGCAAGCAGAACATGTTTAGCCTCAGGCAGACGTGAGGTATATGTGATAGCTTTCGCATCTCAAAATATTTTGGGCTTAGCACTGAGATGGCATAGTTGGTGCAGAAGAACTTTTAATAGTTTAATCAAGGAGTAGTAGTATTCAACTGCAAGTGTCATGATAGTAAATTTGATTGAATAATGTTTCTGAGATATTTGTTTAGCTTTAGGCTTACTTATTTATCCATTACTATTTTTTAAACAAATTGTTATACATTGCTGAGGGTGATATATTCAGGGATTCCATTGAAAATATCTGAAAATACCAACTCATATCAACATCTAGGCCAAACACCATTTATCAAGACTTTCGACCATAATAAATATAATACAAGTACTTTATTAACATTTCTAAAAAGTTAAACCCACAGTATTATCCACCAATGACGGGATTGGGAATAATTTTTAAAATTAAATCCTCTATTGGATCTAGGCTTAAACCAATAACCTGTGGGCAAATTTTTAGATCATCCGTTCACTCCATTCTCCCAGAATAATTATTCTAATTGTAAAAAATGACCCAAAACTGGGCTAAGAATGGCACAAAATACGATTTTCAATTTAATTATATCTGATCAAGAATATTTCTTAGATCTTTTGCATCTTTCTGTTTTAAGTGCCCCAGATTATCTTTGCCAGAAATTCATTTTTTTTGGCTATTTGACCTCGTTAATGTTCCACCTGATGTAGGTCTAGACAAATAGCTTCTGTGCAAAATTTCAGATTATTTGCTCACTTCATTTCTCCTAAAATTATTATTCTTATTCCGAAAAAATGACCCTAAATTGAAAAATGTTGCAAAACCGGGCTAAAATAGCATAGATACGAATTTTAGTTCATTTGTGAGTACATTTCTGAATCATCATTTGCATTTTTTTCTGCTTCAAGAGCCCCATCTGATATATGTAAGAAATTCAAATTTTCTGTTTTAAGCCATTTGGACCACAAGGGAGTTCCATTAACATAAAAGTTATAAACATTTACAAGCAGTGAGGTTTACAAACGTGAATGTAACAGATTTCCATGAGCTTAAAATCTCAAAATAATTTGCCATTTTAAAGGAACTCCACTAAGGTCAAAAAGCATAAAACATAAAATTTTGGTTTATTTACAAAGATCAGCTGGGTACTTCAAACAGAAAAAAAAATGAAAAAGATCATTAAGAAATATTCTCAGATTTAACTGAAAATCATGTAATTGTGCATTTTTAGCATGTTTTAAGTGAAAAACATTGCAACACCTTTCAATTTCCGGTCATTTTGACCGATATAAATTATTATTCTGAAGAAAAAAAAACGATCTGAAATTTTGCACACAAGCTACTGGTCTAGACCTGCATCAATCAAAATAATATTTTCAGCCCCTGTTATGTAAAAAAAACTTTAATCAAGAGGAACAAAATTAAAGACAATATGTCAGGGTAAAATAGAAAAATTCAATATATATATATACATGTATACAGTATGCATTCCGGATAAATACCGTTGAGCCCGCAAATCTCGTCGCATTTCCCTTGAAACATTATGTACTGCATAAGGATTTCCTCGTCGTAAGTGTACAAGTATAGCATTAGCTTTTGACAAAAGTAAAGACACCTGGATCAAATCGAAAGATGACAAAGAAAATAAATTTTCTCCTGGTGTCTTGTGTCTCAACGTGCACGATCCGAAGAGAAAAAAATGACACGACTCTATATCACTATTATAATATATATTTTTAGAAGAATTGATGTAAGTCATTTTACACCTTGGAGGATAATGTTTATTATATTTGATATATCCATAGCTTGTTCAAGATTCATTGATGCATAGCACTTATATACGCGACGACATTAATTTAAAAGATGCTAGGAAACTTTAGTTGAATTATTAATGGTGGACTTGCAACGTAATGATTTGACGGTAATTATCTTGCGGTAATTTCGTTATTACTAAGCTAGTCAATTTAAAAGAAATTAGTGTCTATTTGACAGCAATAAATAAGCCACACCTACGGTGTCCTTATCGTGCCATTTAGAATGTCGTCCGTCGCGTCTAAGGGTAGACACACGACAATGCGAAGTGACATCGCGACAATGCGAAGCGACGCTCGACAACGCGAAGCGATATGCGACAATAGCGAAGCGACGCTCGACAGTGTCAAAAACGAATATGTCGCGACTGTCGCCTAGAAATGTCGCGGTAAAAAAGGGCGACATTTAAGAAATGTCGCTTCGCGTTGTCGAGTGTCGCTTCGCATTGTCGAGCGTCGCTTCGCGTTGTCGCGATGTCACTTCGCGTTGTCGGCGATGTCACTTCGCGTTGTCGCATTGTCACTTCGCATTGTCGAGTGTCGAGGTTGGTAGAAGTGCATACCACGACACTCGACAATGCGAAACGA